GTCCTATCGCCTATTGAAGAAATGGAGGGTGATTAACTTCTCGATCAGATAAGGTTCAGATAAAGAAACACGAACCTGAACTATATGGTGCGATGCCATGGAGAAAGTATTGAGCATCTTCAACTCTTCCAGTTTACAATCCCATCTCGAGGTAGGTCTTCTGTTTCAACACAACATGGTGGAACGGTAATAGCCCTGTCCAGGCCTTCTGGGGAGCTCTTCTTCCTGCTTTTCTTGGCAAGCGGGATGCTCGTAGTTACATGTTCGTCAGATCGCCAACTTCTCTCTTCTTCAAATTCATCTTCACTGGAACGGATAGTTGTTCGAGTTTTAGAAGAGCTGCGAAGTTAGCAAAGTAGATTTTAGAATCAAAAGATTCCAAACTCAAAAAACACAAAAATCAAGAAATGGCAACTTACTCGATCTCGATGATCTTGCCTGTTTTAACTTTGGGCTCGGCTCGGTTTTGGACTGAACAGATTCACCTTTTTTGTTTCCAGAGGCCAGATCTTTTGACTAAGCACCCTTAGTTGCTCTTTGTGATCCTCAAAGTTGTCTAGATCTGAACTAAGAGAGGGCTCCACTACAGAAATTCAAGAAATAACGAGATTTATATTCTGAAAATCCAGAATAATTAAGGTACATACAAACTCTACATCAATAAATCTTAATATACCAGATTTAGTTATCCATTTATGGAAGAGCTATACATCGACCTTGTGGCTCTTGCTCGGAGGAATACCAGCAGTAGTACTATACTTCGATGAAGTATAGAAGATCTTGGGCTTCCCATCTGTGCCGAGGTGCCCACCTTTAAGGATGGTAAGCCTCTCAAAGATATCACAATTAAAAGAAACTGTAGAAACATGAGCAACTGCGGCTAAGCAGATCATATACCTGATAACGGCGTGGCTAAGCTGGGACATCGTCAGCCTTCTATGTTCACAACAACATAGTAAGATGAGGGAGACTGGAATCCAGAGACCATAGTCAGAAAAGAAGCACTCATATACACAGAAGAATCCCTTTGTAGGTTCCTGCGCTCTTTCTCTTTCATTGGGGGTTCGAAGAACTACTCCCTCCGAGAATCCGCATCACCGAGCAAGCATATAAATCCAATCATGGGTCATCAGCGACTTCTCGAACGGGCTCGATGACCTCATTCCCATATCGATGAAATAAGGCACAAGAGCAAGCACAATTTTCACCAGATCGTTTAAAAATTCCACCTCGGAATCATTGTCTAATTGATTTTGGGAATCCCATCCCGAATATCAGCCGAATTCCTAGCTGTTTGGCCATGACCAGCCGAATGGGCAATCCTTTTCTGTTGTGACCTGGTTGGATGCACCCTCTTCTTAGGCCATCCTTTCGGAGAGTGTGCGATCCTCAGCCTTTAATGCCACTCTCTCCATCCAGCCCGCATTGGTTGCGGCTCCAGTAATCGATCCTCACTGTGCAATTTCTTCTTAGGAGGATCAGAGACCATAATACTCTTGCCCTTTATATCTATCAGAGGCGTAGACTTCGCAAAGAAATACTAATGTGATGAAGAAATAAGAAACGAAGGAAACCCTAGGTTTGGGGCGCAAAAGGGAACTTCAGAGTAAGATGAAATCAGCGAAGGAATAGTTTGATTGAGAGTTTTCTGGTTGTAACCCATTGGAACAAAGAAAGTATAATGAGTAAATTGAACAGACCAGAGAATCAAGCAGAGAAAAGGAATTCGCACAAAGTCAGACAAGCAAATTGAGGAGAACAAAGAAGAATGATTACCTTATTTATTGGCCTGAATGCACGAAAAAAATAAACAAGAAAAATCTAAACAGTCTCCTTATAGGGTGCGTGTGAATCCCCTCGGTTTTCTAAAAAGGAAAAACCTTTGAGTTTCCCGCATATGGAAGTCCTAGTTAAACTTAAGCCTACAAAGAAAGAATGATTAATTAAGCCATCCCATTAACAAAGTTTAATGAAACGCTGCACTTCATATTATCTTGCCAGTCTGTGGTGTACACTTGACTAATGTTCTAGTGATTTCTTGCCTGCCGGGTTGACCTTAATGAAACAGAGCCAGAACTTTTCACATAAAAGTTGTCGAACTGGGGGGGAGGATTATGGTAGAGGGGAGAATGTGCACATTCTAGAAATGCCTTTTTACATTAAATCAAACCCATCAGAAGCAAGGATATGATCATCTGAAACTGCCTCACATAAATAAAAAAACCAATGGATTTTTCTAATAGTTTAGCAATTTTACAAACTCTTATCAACCTTTAAATCATCATAATCTAACTGGCAGATTACTCAGACATGGAGATAAATGCACAAATCATAACTGAATAATACTGCATTATAAAGAAAAGAGTAGAGATAAAAGAGTTTGAAATCTTCTATAAAAGAGTACATAATTTGTCTCCCTCAAAGCTCTGGATCAATCTCTCTCAAAAGCTCTCTAGAAAATCAGATACCAGCTAAAGAATGGCTGAAAAACCTAATATACAGACAAAAACACGAATGAGATACTTTTGCAAATAGTAAAACTTCTGGGCCAAAACTGCAATTCTTCCTTCATCTTTTAATTAGCTCGTGATGCTTCCTCCAAAGGTGGGTGACGAGCGTCACCAAGTGAGGGGTGACGATCATAACTAATGCGAAATCGCGTCTCCTTGTTGCTTCAGTTGGGAAGAACTCCTGTTTTACTCCAAAATGCTCCAGAATCTCCAATTATGCTCCAAGCATGCATTAAACTGTAAATACTCTAATAGGACTCTAAAAATATCAAAAAGACTCAATAAAAAGGACTTGAATCATGGTTTTTTAACCATGATATATCATTTGACCATAAGGGGATCATTATGGCCTCGTTACTAGGTCGACGAGGGTACTTTTGAGAGCCTTCGGGTTTCCTGTCGTAGATTTTTATGGCACAAACCGAGTCGTCAACATCAGAGAGTCCGCTCATGGTCATATTTACCCGAAGTTTTGGTGGAGGTGGGGGATTCTTCACGATCGTTTTGGGTACCTTTATTGGCGGCTTTACACGGTGAAGAGCTCCAGGGTAGCTTTTCATCAGTGTCTCATCGATCATTGTTATTGCCGCGACGTCCTTCGATGGGACGTCGCCAAGAATTACTCCTTTTTTTGGTTGTTAGATTAAGGCAGTTCTCTCTCGATTTTGATTTCGTCGCCCTTGTATTTTTAGTACAAGGAATCGTGTAGGTGACGACACGAGGGACTTGTGTGTGTACCGTTCGTGGAAAGTGCAGTAAGTGTTGGGGTCGTCGTCCCTTTCTGTAGCACTTGGTTGGGCGATGTGATCATTGTTTTGATCTGAGTTGGCGCGCGGCTTTTATGTCGGCTTGCTGATAGCATGCGATACCAGTTTACTCCTATCACCATAGGGCAAACTAGGAAGATTCTCAAATTCTTCCTCGTCGTATTTTTGGGTGCAGAGCCTCTTGTTTTCCTCTATCTTGATGAATGTTCGGGCGCGGTGCATGGCGTTCTCCAATATTCCTTAGGGGTTCTTTTGTAGTCCGTCCTTAAAATCGGATTGGTACCATAGTCTGTTCTCGAGGGCTTGCAGTCCTAGCTCATCTTATATCTTACCGTATGATATGACGCTTCCTTGAATTTCTCGATGTGGTTTCGAAGCGACTTGTTCCTCCCTTGCAATAAGGTGGGCAAGTTAATAGTTTGCTTAGTTATCAAGACCGAATAATGTTTTAAGAAGGCCGTGGAAAGGTCCTCGTAGCATTTGACGCAGCCTGGACGGAGGTTGGAGAACCATTTCAATGCGTCTTTGTTAAGGTACTCAACGGAAGTTTAGTAGTAGTTTGCTTTCCTCTCTTCGGGCGAGTTGAATTGCTGCATGTTCATAGCGATTTGGAAGCTAATGAGCCAATTTGGGGATTCTCCACTATCATGTAGTAGTTCAGTTTCAGTTTTATTGCGGGTCTAAGGCAGACGTCGGTGATGCAGGGGACAAAAGGTCTTTGCTATGTATCAACCAGAATTTTCGAGATTTCTAGAGCTGATGTCGTCGCTTGGTGCCCCTTGAATCTGATTGCGTCTATCTGCTCCTGCAGGCTGGCCACGTCGGAAATAGACTCGGTTATCTGTGCTTCATTAGGGTGGGCTGAGTTCTCGATTCCTCATGTAGCCACCATTGTCCTGGTGTGGCTGGCGGGGGTCCTGAAAAGTTGTCGCCCTATTGGAGTTAGATCTTCTTGGGTGTCTACGGCAAGCGAGTTGAGTTGCTCATCATATTGGTTATGTTATCCATTTATGGTGTTGAATTTATCTGATAGTGATTGGAACATCGGCTACATGATAACCTGCATCAGAGAGGCCAGATCGACAAAGGTGATTGGGGCGGGAGTAGTCGAAGGTGGTTTTTGGTGCGTTCGGTCTTCTTCCTCCGTATGTTCCCCGGTTTTAGTTGGATTGTTGGTTAATATTGTGATAGGATTACCCTCGGCATCAAGCCCGGGTTGTAGATCGTCTGTCTCGGTATTGATGTTGTCAACCGTCTTAAATCCTAGCTTTTTGTTAAGAATTTATTCTCTAGTACCTACAGACAACGCTAATTTTTGAACCAGAATATTATCTAATAGAATAAGTAATAATCGATTTGGAGGTTTAGAAAATAATATATTTTCTTATAGCTCAGAGTTTTAGAAGTTACATGAAAAGTACAAACATGATATTTTGTTGAAGTTAGAGTAAAGACTCTTAAAAAATTGAATAAAAAAAAATAGAAAAATATTAGATTTTCTCTTGCTGCTCTCTTAAAATTTTTGATTAGATTTTAATCTATGATCTTTTCTCTATTAGATAAAAGAATAGTTCCATCTAACTCTTTTCCTTTTCTTAATAAAAAGTCTATTTTCCTTTAATTTTAGGAAAATTCATTTATCCTAAATATTTTGAGTCTTATAATATATACAAATTATAATGTTTTTGGCGTTATAAACCTTCATCAGTTGGGAACAATTTTAGGATAACTATGTCGTCCATATCCCCAGTTTTGAATATTATTCAAGAACAAGAAACTAATAGTCAACGGACTATTATGGTGTTGAAGAAGTCAATGGACTTTCAATGCATTAAAACAGACCAATCAATGAAATTCTATTCAACACACTCCAAAAAATGAAAAGGGATAATACATACAAACTTTTCAAATAAACCCCTAAACTTTCAATCAAATGTAAATGGAACCCAATCATATCAAAGGATCTAAAGAATCAAGCTTTTTTTTTATCAAACTATTGTTTCTGTTAAAAAAATGCGCCATAGATGATGAAAGCAGACTCTGCATTTCACTGGAAAGAATCTGAACCTGAGAGACACAAAACCTTAATCAAAATTCAAAAGCAAAAAAATGTGAGTGACAAAAAACAAGAAATCAAAACAAAAAAACACCTTTTTCATGATAGGATCACTAGACCAAGATACAACGATGCACAAAGAAACGCAAAAGATATCATTCCCCTGCAAAATCAAAACTTCACTTTCACAATCTGTGGTTACTGAGAGTTACTGTATAACGAATTGGATTAAAAAATCTAACCAAATGACGCCCCAGCCACAACCAGTACAGCAAGGACAGATCTCTGCAAACTTCTCAGCATCGCTTGAATGGACTCTCCGTGATATCAGATCATCGTAGATATCTAAAATCCATTGCAGCCACAGCAAAAAATGAGACTTTCTTTCTTATTGTTCATGAAGTTCATAGCTTTGAGTGAAGTTAATGAGAGAAAAAAAGGAAACACATACCGTAAACTGAGAATAAGCTATTCATTACACCTGCAATATCCAGAATCCGGCTTTTATATAAAGAAGATGGAAACTTTAACAAGACAGAGTAGGATCTGTAAGACTATTTACCGATGAACAGAATGACATAGCGGAGAATTTTGACTGTGGTTAACTCTTGTAGAACCCAGATGATAGCGAGGAAAACTATGAAACCTGAGAATTTTTTGATCAACTATGAAAACTATGAAACCTGAGATTTTGGGTATTTTAAAGAGAAAATGGAGTAAGAGGGAATCACGAGATAACACACCTATACAAAGACCTCGAAGCGTCCACTGACAAAATTGGAAATTTGGATTCTCATTTGTTAGATGTTAATGTCTCCAGGAGATAAAACTGTTGAGATGAAGAGAAAAAAAAGGTGACTTCTTCTTACGTTTTTGGCAATGAAGAGGACGATGAATAAAGCAAGACCAAGACCAGCAGCAGCTATTCTTGCTGTAAGCAGATTGGTAGATGCAAGAATCAAAGCCATTCCCCAAAATGATGAGCCAAGATCTATAACCAATTCAACAACAACATGATGTGTCACTTTTAGCCATCAACAATGGAACGTCTAAATTCGAAAATGGTTGATTTGTATATTACAGCCAGCAGGTAAGATGAGCCAATAAATGCCACCACGTGTCGTTGTCGAACCCCCTTCATTTGCATTCACCTCCATCCCCTCCACCTTTTTGATTCAAGAAGATGGTTATGTTCAAACCAAAATGAGAGACATTTGTTAATAGGAACACGTTATCCACATTGTATGCCACTACGCAAATTGAAACATTTGATGGTATTAATGTGCATTCTATACATAGCCTTTTCAAAGATAACAGTTTTGATGAGCGGCGTTAAACTTGCAGATTCATAGAGAGAAAATGGTAGATAACTTTCATACAAGCATTACTTGCAAAGAAAAAGTCTGAAGATTTTCATATTTTCTCTGTAATACACTCATAAGGTGAAACTGTCCCACGCATCAGTCAGCTTAAAAGAAAGCATTATCGGAACTATGATAAGAGCTGAAGCTATACACTCTTATTCTTATAGAATTCACAACACTAGAGAGACTCATTAAAGTAAAGACTCAGAATTGATATCTTAATCACATCCTAGAGAATCTACAACGTAAACAATCTGCAGAGACATCTTTATAAGCCCAGCCCTAGCTAACTGCTTTCTAGTCAACTCGAAAGAGCTATAATCTGTTACATTCAGTCCTAGGCTAGTTATAGTAGACCTAGAGCTAAGGTTTGAGCAGCTGAACTTCTTCAAGTAGACTGAATCAAGATGCTAACTCTATGATCATGCTAAACACTCATGTCCAGAGACATCATTGCTAAAACAAACCTTTTGACTAGCAAATGTGCATATTCTAAGGAAATGTTAAGCTCGCAAATTGGATCACAAGTCAACCAGAATATCTTCTCTTTCCTTTCAAAACCATAGGTTAGCTAACCAAAGGGACATTTCAAGTTTACAAACTGAATCAAGGCTTTAAACCTAAAATCAGTTTTGTACCCTTTTTTAGTTTCATTGAAGAAGTAGTTGAAGTGAGAGAGCTTCCTTACATCTCCACAGGTAAGCTTGCAAGCAACAGCATGACTCGCTTCGTGCAAAAACACCGTGATTAATTTAAATGGAGTCAACAGAAATGTCCTCCATAGCTGTGAAAATCCAAAAAACCAAGAAATCTCTGTAAAGATGTAAACAAGAACAAATATAGAAAAAAACCAAAAGTTACAAAATTTGAATGAAATTACAAGTCAAAACACTACAATTGGAAACCCTTTTGACTATATTTGATAATGAACCCTTTGGATCTTCAATTGAATCGAAGAAAACAATTAAAGGTCCAAACTTTTAAACTCTTTCTTCAGGACATTAGATGAAAAAACTGACCAAAAGGATAACAACGGTGAAGATTCCGATGGTGATGAGGAACGCGTTCTGGTTTCGGTTACAGCAACCTCGGAGTTCCCAGTTCGGTGAATCCATCGTTTAAAGTTCCGGTGAAAACTCCGGTGACAAAAGAATCTTTCTTTCTTTTTTTTGGGAATCTGAAGACTGATTGGGAGAAAAAAGAAAAGAGGGAAAGACTGAAAAATGGACGAATTTGATTGGTTTCGTTGTTTTTTCAGTTTTTGACATTTTGTTTTTCTAATGTTCTTCTTCGAGGAAATTCATTGGGAGAAAATAATTACTTCTTTTTTTAGGGGAAATTAAATAGATTAGGTGACCCATCCAGACCTTGATTGACCAAATCACGCGTTTAATTTTCCTTTTTTTTTTTTAAGATAACGCGTATTATTTATTTCGACATCAGTTTTTTCTTTCACTGCTGTTCTAATTTGAATTATTTTCAGAATGTGATAATTATGTAGAGTTTTCTGTTGGATAACTAGAAATTTTTAATAAGGATGAATGATTATAAATTTTTTGTTTTCTGATAAATACGAATAGATAAAACGTTCAAAATACTCCTTTTATTTTATAAAGAGTGTTATTTTCACACATTTCACAGATACTAGATTATTATCCGCATGTTCGTGCGAAGTAATGTTTGTAAAAATATTTAAAAAATATTTTATGATTTATTAAGTTTTGAAAAATATTTGGGTATCTAAAAAAGTTCAGTCGAGATTTGAGAAAATTTAGTTATTTTCGTTTTTAATTTAAACATATACAAAGCGAGATTTACATTTATTTTTGTCCGAGGTTTCAAAAAATAATATTCTTTTTCTGTTTGTATATATAATATGTAAATCAAAGCTATTGCAAAACGATAAATACTCGTAGAACTAAAACATGAAAATAATTTTTATTTCTATCAATAAAATAGGTAACTAATTTAATTTACTAACAAATGAAATTATCGATTTATTTATGATTGATAAAATGTTTGGTAATAAGAATAGCACACAAAAATAAATCAATAAAAATATTAGAAAAAAGTAGATAATGACACTTAAGCTAATGCTTTCTGTTTAATATATGTTAGATATTAAACCAATGAAGTTATCAAATTATTTGTGATTAGTTCTATTTAAATTCAATTTAATTTTAAGTGATTTAAAATAATATATTTAGTAATAAGGATAGCACATAAAAATAAATTAATAAAAAATATTAGAAAAAGGAAATAATGACATTTAAGCTAATGCTTACTATTTAATATATGTTAGATACTTTTTAAAAAAAAATAAAGATTCACTTAAATTTTCTGTCATATTTATTTAAATCGAATTATTTAAATTATATACAAAAAAACCCACATATTAATTTCAGATTTTCAAACATTAAATACAATTAAAAAATATATAATTAGAGAAGTTTTTATTTGATTGTAAGAAAGATTGTGTTTGGTTGCAAGAATAAATTATTTAAATTTTTAACCATTATTGAGATTTGAAAAAATCAAAATTCTCAGATAATGACAAATAAGTCACTAATGCTTCATGTTTAATATATGTTAGATTAAGAATATTATTAAAAGTTATATTTTACTCCTTGTTCATACATAAAATAATATTCTTTTAATTAAAACAATAAAATATAAATTGTTCGGAAACAAATTTCGGGATGCCACATAGGGGTTGTGATTCGTCGGGGATGGGGCCGAGTCTCCAAGTTCCGTCCTCTAGGGGAAAGGCGGCGAATCGTCGTTCCGGGATGGAAGCTCCCTATCGCGAGGTGACGGAGCGTGCGCCATATTCAACCTTGTAAACACTTAAACAAATGTCAGGCAAGCCTTCGGGAGGCCAGAAAGGGGGTTTTCCTCCTGAAGGTTCTCCGACGCCCAAGTCAGTAAGCATCCTACCAGGAACAGGTACTAGGAAGGGGAGATTTCTACGGGTTAGTCGTGAGGAGATTCGTCTGAGGATCAAGTCTCCTGTCTGGTTTATAGTGAGGGCTTTCTACTCGTCAAAGGTGGAACGAAGCGAATATAAAGGCGAGGTTCCGAGTTAGGGATTACTTAACCTGCTCGGCATTCACCCGGGAGGAACATGAAGTTCACCCATAATCATGCTGCATGACCGGGAATATTCTCTCGGATATCGGAAAGTAAGCCTTTCCGATCGCCTTCCTCCTCTCTTCTCGAAGGGTTTACCTTCCATGTATACTCGTCATCCTCTTGTCATGTCCCTTCCAAGCCGTGCACCCAGGGGGTGGTAGGAGTAATGATTTTGGCGTGTTAGGGGAAACCCGCCAACTGCCACGATACAGTATGCGGGAGTGGGTCAGCTAAGCAAGTGTGGCGTGTGTCAGCACTCGATGTAGCCTAGGTCCACGTGGCAACTTCTCTTTCGACCCGGTAAAATGGGTCCCAACCGTTGCCCCCGACTTCTCGGCTGATCCATGGATGAGTCAGGGAGTCGAACCTTTGTTAATTCCCTGTAAAATGAGCGCGGTTATCCGATTCCCTAGATTTTATGCTGGTTTGATGCAGCGACCTTGCCACATACCGCGGGGGGTATGGTACCGATCTGGACGAAGCTAAGTTCTAAATCATAACAAGAGACTTAGGAACTCATCAGAGCTGTGCCATGCACCCGAGGGAATGCGGTTCTAGCTAGATGGTCCGAACTTCCAAAGAAGTTAGATAGGGTATCAATTTCGGCCTTGGTGCGATCCGCGACGAAAGGTGCCTTTAGCCGAAGGAGTAGTCTGAAACAGACTCTCAACACCGACCTTATTCGTTTGTCCCGGAGGAGCACGTTATTGGTGAGGGAATTTTTCTTCCACGGAAGTGAGCCGCGGGGCAGCTATTACTCGGTGTCAACTTCGATCTTATTTGTATCCAAGGGAGTACGTTATTGATCGAAGGAATTACGCTTCCGGAGGAAACAAACCGTGAGACGGTCAGACTAGATATATATAGAGAGAGACTCGCCCAGTCTACGTTACGCATCCGGTGGAGTATGCTGTTCGGCCTAGGGAGTTTAAAATGATGGGGTCCTATCCTGACTGGGGCGTGCATCAGGGGGAGTGCGATGCTTTCTCAGGGAAGGATGATAGGCGTTCCCGGGGGGAACTGATAGTTTTGGCCACTGGTGGCCATCTCCCCCGGGGGATTTTACTCCTTATTTCGTGAGGCACTAGACGAGAAGCCGTCTTCCCCCGCTCATCGGGGTCATGAGCGAGGCTATAGACTTGTGTGATCGTAGGAATCAGCACAAGCCAATAACGCGGGCTAAGACATCGGCCCAAGGACCAGAGGTGGCACTGTTGGACGGATGAATATATGTTCACTGCGTCGTGGGGCACTAACGCAGGAGAGAGTCGCTACTCGAATGCAGCTGGTGTGGAGTAGGGCATTTCCCGAGGGCGTTACCTCGACTCCCTTACTGCCTGGATAGTATTTGCGTTGTGCTTACGCGGAAGTTGGTGGGTTTTGGAGAGCGTGCTTGTGACGTAACCCGGAGGGGAAAAGGTTGGGAAATTATCATGAAGAGAAAGACTGCGAATCGGCAACCTCAATTCCTGTTGTGCCTGAGTGGCAAGCGTGTCCTAGTGAGGAGCACACTGGTTTGCCGCTCGGCCCTTAGGTGGGGACTTACGGGGAAGACCCGGAGGTCTGAGAGGCCTGAGCCCTAGAATCACGGGGGGTCCTGCCCTGAGGGGCGAGCAAGTTCGCAGGGAATCATGCTCAGGGTGTGCGCGGTCCATGGAGGGAGCTGGCACGGGGCAAGCCACGAATGCTTGTTGGACCAGAGTCTCGAGTTCCCAGAGGAATGGTGTCCCGAAGGGCGGGCGAGTCCGCGGGGGAGCATACCAAGAAAAGAGGATTTGAATGAGAGTATATATACTATCGAGGAGAAAAAACATTCGGCTGATGTGCGAGCGGGAAATCAAACAAACAGGTTAGCAAGGGGTCAAGAAATCAAGCAAGCAAAGAATCAGACAATCAAGCAAGCAAGAAATTAAGCAAGCAAGAAATCAGATAATCAAGCAAGCAAGAAATCAGGCAGTCAAGCAAGCAAGAAATCAGACACGTGAGCTAGGAATTCCTTGGCGGTTAGGACCTCGTTAGGGGCGGTCGCGCTTCAGACACGGTCATGGGTACCGTAAAACCCATCGCGGGCCCCGCACTGCTCGGACGGTTAGGCCATGCCCCATCCCGGGGACGGCCTCTCTCGGGTAGCATACATGCGGTTATCCTATAGGGGCACGAAATTCATACAGTCGCGATCCTTTGTCAATTGATCTTCAGAAGACCCACGGTAAGATTGGTTGTCCTCTTTCGAATGTTCTTGGGCAAATCTTCGGGTGCTGGTGAGTGCGATCCACGTGCCGAGCCCCTGGTGGTTAGAATCGTAGCGCGTCACCTCACGCAGCGTGCACCGCTCCCTCAAGGGCCATCGATCATCTTTTCTGCTGTGGCCGGCTCCTTTCCTCTCTCTTTGCATTAAACACGCGTCACTTCCCACGCACGGCTCGAGAGACTGATAATTATTTCTCACTGACTTTTGGCTTTCCCCGACCGACGCGATTCCTCTCGCCTACCTCTTTGATTTCTTCTTCCTCTATAAAATCGGGAAACTCGCAGTTCCACGGATTTAGTCTATTTTCGGAGCAAATCTCAGAACCTTCTTTTCTCAGACTGCTCCTTCTTTTTCCTATCACACACCTCTCTTCTCGTTCAACTAAGATGTCTGCCTCAAGCTCGTCGTCCGGCACTGGTGTAAGATCCAAGGAGAGGCTCACTCGGATTCAAACATTTTGGATATACTAGAACTGAGGCAGCGGAATGATGGAGATTACACAAGCTGGCCTTAGACTCTCTCGTGTGAAATCGGTGAAATGGAAGTGAAACGTGAGATGGGATCGAACAAGCTGTCCTGAGACTCTCTCTTGTTGGATCAGTTGATGGAAGTGATGGGGGATCGATGGCACCACAGAGAATATGATGGGTTCTCTAATACAGCAATAACACTTTTTTTATAGAGATACACTCAACATAAACACAAGAGCAAAATTTAGAAGAAAAACTTCTGGTTTTTATTTCTTTTATAAATTCAATGGTATTTTACAATGAATAATTCAAAGAACTTATATAGAGCTCGACCTAAACAATAAATTAAATGAAATAAATCAACTTTAAATACAAATAAATCAGCCTAAATAATGGATCAATCAAAGGTTTGATCGATATTTAATGCTTGATTGTTGGCTAAATGAGCAAATATTGAAGGTGCTTTGTATCTGGACAACTTGGGCATGATG